TCGATATTACAAATTTTTACAACAAACAAACATATGTTTTAATACAGTCATAACGGCATTCATGTTTCACCGTCATGCTTTTAAAAAACAAAATGCTAAAACAAACACCGCTAAATTTCCTCATCTATAATCCATACTTGTAACTACTGTACAATAATCCAGCAACACTCTGTCCCTCGATGACACTCGAATACCCTGTCAGAAAAGTCCAGTGAATGAGCTTTTTACAGTGTCTGCTATAATGTTAATGTATGTTTTTGTGTGTTTACATTGATGAATATGGCCATGGTGTAAATGCACAGTACCGTTATGATCTTATTTCCACATTTTATCATTGTAATAACATGATATATGCCTTTAGTGATTTCCTAAAGATAAATACCAATAGATAATACAACTGGAATAACAACAGCAGTTGCGATCGACAATCTCATATGAAGCAAGATATTGCGAACATGTAGGAGGCCGTGTGCAAGTGTTGTAGTGCTGTCCCATTTTTTAGGGGTAAATTTGAAGCCCTTCCCATTCACACTCTGTTTCAACTGTCAAGGGAAAGGGGAAGGGGTACAAAAAATAGAATTGGAATTGGGCCTTAATGAACATATAACTTTTTGAAAAACAAAGTATTTTACGAGGAGACAAATTTTTTATGTGTACAAATTGTATGTTTCTTTTTTAGGTGTATTTTGTATGAATTCATACATAAATTGAAAAAATACAGTATATACTTTTGAAAAACAACATTAACAAGGTGTTAATATGAATGAATTTATAGAACGTGAATTGTATGAATATGTATGATTTTTATAAAAGACAAATTTTTGAGGTGCTGATTTCATAGAAATTCATACAATATGAATTGTGAATTATACAAATGTGCATTAGAGCTGCACTATTAATCGTAAAAAGATTGCAATCTCGATTCGATGCCCTAGACGATCTTAATTCAGCATTTCTACGATTCTGTCAATCATCTCTTCAATTTCAGGAGAGAAGCAATGGTGGCCGAACAAGTCTTTACATTGTTTTATATACGTTGTTCAGCAACATGAACACCACCAAATGGTGTTGAAAGAGTCACATGCTGCATTTATACGATATAATTCACCCCAAAAATGTAATTTCTGTCTTCATGTAATGATGTATTTGTGACCACAAAATCACAACGTGACGTGAGCTGACCGCCAACTGTTACCACAGAGAGGACGGGCGCGCGCGCCTTTGAATGAAGTCTACTTTAGTGAACAGAACCTGCATAGGCTGTGAATAACAGGTTATAAAAGCTGTAAATAGCATTCAGTTTGTGGCACAGAGTAAAATCAATGATAAAATATCACGTCAGTGACAGATTTTAAGCATAAAATGACAGATTGTAGGCATTCGTCTCAAACACAATAATTCAACATCAGAATTATCATCAGCATTAATGACCAGGACAAATCTAAAGTCTGTTCAAGTCCACCATTCCAAGTCTATACAAAATTTAGCATTTTAACCAACAGTACAGCTACACAAACCCAACTGCTGGTTCACCACATGTTTGAGACTAACAATAATAATAGCCTTCTCATATAAACCTTTATTTTATATCTACAGAGTCGTGAGAAAACCATGATCCTTATTTTAGGTAAAAAATCGTGCAGCTCTAATGTACATGTTTTCACAAAAACTATTTTCATGAGGTGATGTTTTGCAATTCGTATGTTGTCAATTTTATGAAGACAGGATCATTTCAGTGCAAATAAACGCACAGAACACTGCCAGTCACATTTTATATACACTGCCATACCCAAGACAAAAAAAAAAACATCCACAAGTACAACACTAAAGAACACCGGCAGCTTTAAAACACTTCTTGACAACAAACCAGCAGCAGTGCACTTGTCTAATGTTAGCTGATCTGAAAGAGCAGAGCTGGAAGTGTCCCGAGGCAAGGTTAAAGAAACAACGCTATAACAACGTTCAGTCAATTCAGTCAAATCCAATACTACAGACGCACAAGCTGCACTGTCATACCTTCACCATCAAACACTTACACTGAAGGAAGTATATTTACATAAAACCAAGCATTCAAAAGTACACAGCTAATCAACTTCTGAGGAAAACTGACTTCATCACACAGCTTAATCACATATATAATTATCTGCACAAGGGTGAATTTGCCATATGTATGCTACGAGACAGTGTAACGTCAAGTAAGCAACTGTACGCGTGATTCACATTCCTGCTGTTTTGCCGCTGGCAGCGATTCAAGTGTCTAAATATGATCCATAAGGTGCTGCTCGGGCTGTTGTTAGACTTTGAATGAGGAGTGTAAAGATCAGTCTCACAGTGTTGATTTAGTGGGGTGTGGAGAAGACTCAGGGATTATTACCAGCCACTATAGACGTTCAAACAAGGGCTGATTCGGGATCAGCTTTAATGGTTTTGTGAGTTAACCAATGAGACAGGGCTGTGAAGAGTTTCAAATGTCACACCGGACTGAAACTGGAGATTACGACAAGCTTGGGAAATGACCATGCAATGTCTTCAGGTTTAAAATATAAGACAAATATGTTAATTATAAGAAAAAAAAATAGTATATAATATATATTATTAATATAACATAATAAATATACACAAACAGGCAACATTTATACTGTTTATACAACATGGTTAATCTTAATATTTAATGTGACATATTATGGGTCTAATTAGGTGAATTTGGTAACACCAAAAAATGTGTGTGTGTGTATTTATTGAAAAGTTAATCAATGAAGAATAAAAAACAATTAATGTTTTTCTTTCAATTTTAACATCTAAATTACTGTTTTTACAACAAATATCACCCAAATACTTAGTCTTCATTGTGACTGATTGTGGATCTTATTTAAGTGAAATAGTAAATGCAAATTATTAAAATATACACGTTAAAAACACATTTTTATCTTCATTTTAGTGTTTATCTGACCATTTGAATAGTTTTAGCAACTTTATGATCATGTCATATGCTCACACAAACAACACATGTGTCACTAACATAATTACAGCTGATTACTGGGTAAAAGCTACACGTCACACATGGCAAATCATAGTATTACTCATGATAGCATGAAATTAAAGACAACTACATGCTTTGTATGTGCTTGACTCATCAAATAGTCTAAAAGTTGGTCATCCATCACAGTACTAAAGGTTAAAATAACAGTATTGGACATGCGTCATTTATTTTAAAACTTTTTTAAATTCATGTACTCTGACAGTAAAGCCATGGTCACACTGACCATAATTTTGCTGGTGAAACTGAGAAGCTTCAATAGAAATCTGAGCAAATGGGGTTGCCAGGTCTGAGTAACAAAACCTGCCCAACGGCTATTCAAAAAAAACCCATAAGTAGTCCAGTCACGTTTAGGAAGCAGGTCCCTCTGGGTTTAGTGGTCCTATTTAACTGAAATTGGTTGAACCCAAGGTAAAAAAACAAACATGGCTAAAGTGAAAAAGTAGTTCAGATCCGCAGAATAACCATGGACTTGGCAACACTGATGATTTGACAAGTGCAGTGAGGGCATCAATGGATATCAGTTACTGTACTTTAAACAAATACAAAGATGTTTTTCTCCATCATAACTTTGATGAAAAAGTGCAGAAACCACTAATTCATGTAATCATAGTCTTACAAAGTTAATTACAAAAAGGTACAAGTTACAACAGCAACATTATAACTATTATATAAATTTAAAATGTAACCTTTTAATATTATGCATTGTGTATATTATCATTTAAAACATTTAAATGAACAAATACGATCATATTTTGCTAAAAAAGCTGAAATTTGAATGTGGTTTGTATCAGACAATAAAACAATATAGTGACAACGGTGCTGCTATTATACTGTAACTGTTATTTAAAGGTAAATTATTGAAGTTGGATTAGACAACTTAGGCTTTATTGTGAATTTATGATTTTTTTGTGGTTTGTACTAACATATACTTTGAACTGTTAAAATATTTTTCAATTTATGCATTACACTGTACAAAATACTGGATTCCACACAATTACTTTATGTTGTACCAATACAAATCGATTAAGCTAATTTTATCGTTTTTACAAATTTAAGTGGACTGAACATAAAACAATTAAGTTGTCCAAAAAAAAAAAATACACAAAATAATTGTTGTTTCAACTCATTTTAAAGAATTAGTTTGATCAAGCGGCAAAAGTCATTTTTCGACTTTATTTTTATTATATTCAATTTTATATTTATTTTTTAAAACAAAAAGCTATCTTTTAGTGTCATTCAACATTATTTTGTGGGCCTATTATTAAATTATTGGTGGCTAAATTATTGGTTAGGGCACCAAACGTATCAATTTGACACAAGCATTGTACACAGAAAAAAATTACATTTGCTGTTTGTTCAAACTACTTATTGAAAACTGAAACAACACACATCTTAAGTTTTTTTTAAACAACTTAATTGTTTTATGTTCAATCCACTTAAATTTGTAAAAATTAATAAGTTATCTTAATTCCTTCATGTTTTCCCAACACAAATTGATTGTGTGGAACCAACCATTTTTACAGTGTAAAACAAAACAACAGCAAAAAAGATATCCAATCCTAGTCAAGTGTGAACAAACTTAAACTTAAGTCTATAAGTGACAAAATCTAAAATACCGTCTTTGTATTTTATATTGTAAAATATATTTCAGCCTACTAGACTTCATCAAATATCAACTGAATATAGTGAAGTGAGACTTTAAACCTTCTCAAAATCATATCATCCTTTCAAGTCACAGTTTCTTTCTCACACAGCAGTTTCAAAACACCCAGATCCGCAATCTCTAATATACAGTAGGTCCCCCATATCACTACAAGTGTCCCCCACACATGTGACAATCCACTGCGCAATGCTAACACAAACAGATGTCCATGGCCTGGTCAGCTGGTTAAATGTGATTCAGCGTTGGACTGTGGCTCTAGTGTCTGTCTTTAACTCTCATCCATACACAAACACTCACCTGGTCTGCCCTCTTCCCTTTCAGATCTCATGCTCTTAACAGCGCCGGCTCCGGCTGACTTCACTGTCCTTTTCTCATAGCAGGAATACTCAAATAAACTTGCCTCACACACACCTCTACGTTCACTCCTCCCTGACAGGTTACTAGGGCGGAGCTGGCGAGGGAGTATAAACAAGTTTGAGCTGCCGTCCTCTCTCTGAGCCTGTTCTGGGAGATTCTCTTGGGCGTTTTCTGATCTTCCCCACCCCCTCTACACCTCTTCTACCTGTTCTCGCTCTCCGCTACACACTCACACACATGTTTGGTTTACTATCCTTTTGGGGACTTCTCTTAGATATCATGATTTCAATACTAAGCAAACTATATATACTATTCACTAAAATCAACAGACACAGGGAACATACTGGATTTTTACATTTTCAAAATACACACACACACACACAAACACTTTCAGGCCTTAAGCAGAGAGTGCAGAGAGTTCAAACAGGAAGTGACATTGTTTTTTTGAGCAGGTATATTCATTGGCTAGTGGGAGGAGACAAACAGCTGCTCTGATCAGGTGAGGGGCAGGTGTGTGTGTGTGTGTGTGTGTGTGTGTATAATCTGAGGCCCTGCAGCTCCATCTAACGGTGGAAACAAGACACACTGTACTGGAATGTTAAGTGGAGTTCACTGAAATATTGTTCTGTCACTTTATTCAGTGTTTACTCTTTTTCCTTTACAGTATTTTGATTGGACAGTAGATGAACGCAGGGTTATTATAGTTAAGCCTTTTGAAATGAGTTGTTAATTCAATATTAATTGTAAATTAGTTGTGCATTTCAGGTTAGTTTAGTTTGTTTCATTAACAGTTTTGTTCCTTTTAGCTATAAAGTTTTTATTATTATTTATTATTTTTATTATTTTTATATTTTATTTTATTATTAGTATTATTAGCACCGCTGTATCTAGCGACTAGACTTTTTGTCTGAACTATCCCTTTACCAAATGATTGTTACCAAATTTTCCTTTTTTTTTTTAAACCAAACTTTGCCTTTAAGATGAGTCATCACCTGCCTTCCCAAACCTCTTTCTAGAACTATAAAAGTCCACTTCAGCCCACCATCCTTCTCCCTCCACATCCCATAATGCAGGCATGCAGGAATCGGTGAGACGTATTGTCAGATAAAGGGCTGGATGAGTGTCCTCTTCCTCACAGAGCTAATGGAGCCACGGGTAGATTGGGGCCCTCTTTCTGTCTCAGCCGAACAGGACGACTCGAGGGCTCTGAGGGTCACAACACTGACTCATCTCTCCTTTTATCACTCGCTCTTAAAGACCACTATGCTGGTGCTGAGTTCAGACTGCCTGCTGCTTAAAGGTTCATGAAAAAAAATGACTCAAAGTGATACTCTGAAGCATTGTGTAATGAATGAGTGACTGTCTTGAAGATGAGACACTGCAAGTTTGTTTCATGTATTGTCGGTTTTTGAATTTTCAATAGGGTATATGCAGAAGGACTTTTAATTTTCAATAGCTAAGTTCAAGAAATTCCATTGAACTGTATGGCATTACAAAATCCCTGCATTTAAGGTCTGTTATCTTTAAAAATCAATGATCTTCACTGCTTGATTGATATAAAGTTGGCTTCGTAATGTACAAGAAGCACTGCTTTAAAATCCATTGTTCTGCGTCATGTCTTTAAAATATGAACATTTATTTTACCACAGTATTTTCAGTGGAGTTTCTGCTCTTGTCTGCTGCTACAGACGGGGCTTACATTTCAACATTTTACGCTTTAACAACTAAACGAATGCTTAAATCTATTTGACGAATTATATTTTAATTACATTACAACATCGAAGCTGTAAAAGGAACCATATGACATTGAAAACAGTCACATTAACCTTTTATCGGAAGTTTATAGGTAGAGGAAAAACACTAGCTGCTCATATACCCTATAGTCTAATGTAAAGAAAACATCCCAAATTCCCTTTTACATGTACTAATTTAGCAGATGCTTTAATTTAAAGCATCTTAGAAGTGAGAATAAATAAAGCACTTTAAATTATCAGAGCGTAGCAGTATATACTGTAAATACAAGTATAATTAATTTTTAAGGTCCTACAGGTGATTTGTCAAGCCCACTCACCTGTGTGAAGCACACTAAGGGCCCTATCATACAGCCAGCGCAATAAGGCGCAAGATGTGTTTGACGCGATTTGTTGCTATTTTCAGTAGAGCGCAACCCTAATTTTTATTTTTTTCTGCGACATTGTGTAAATAGCAAATTCATTTGTGCCACTGTGTGGACTCATGGATGTACTGGGCTAAAAAGGAATTGTGTTAAGGTCCATTGTTGGCACGCTGCTATTTTGAGGAACTGAAATAGACTGTGCCATTGACCAACTAAAAGCCTGTCTAAAGTTCAGTGCAGAGTGCATTAGTTATGCACCTATGCGCTTACACATCGCTTAATACATACAGCAATACACAGATATCTTTACATATGAAAATTATTTTCTACATAAATATAAAAACCACTGCCTCCATGCCTTCTTCGTTTATTTATGACATCTATTCATTACATTTGTATAATGTGATTATTATTATTATTATCATTATTATTTATATGCATATTTATATTTGTTTTAATGAAAACAAGCTTAGATTCGTTGACCTGTTGAATAAGAATAAGACGTGTGTTTGGATATAACTCAGTTTTTTGCCACACTTCGTTGTTATTGTTCCTTTATTCATTTGCTGAAAATTAGAACTGAAGTTAGAAAAAGTTTTAAAACAAATCTTTGCGATTAACAAACTAAATTAAATATGTAGGCTAATGGATGTCTTTGGTGGAGTGCACACAACACTGTTTACTTATCCAAGGAAGTAAAGGAGTAAAGTAAAGAGTAATAGTAAAGTAAAGAGAACATAAAGAGGCTGATGGTAGGAGGCTCGTTCTTTTTTTCCTTACTGCAGATGTTGTCGACTGTTGTCTCGCTATTGTAGCCTTCCATTTTTCCACTTGCAAGTCCGCCATGTAAATAGCAAATGCACCATGGCACAGTACAACTAACTCTAAAAGGGAATGTGAGATGATTGGTTTAATGCACTTCATGCTCAAAACTCATCAATACCTTATTAAGAGAATAAGCACAACCTGTTTAGACCATGTGCCAGAAAGCAATGCATATTTTTCTTTCCTTAAAATAGAAAAGGTAGATTTGGACATGCTGCTAATGTTTTTTTGATCCTAAATCATTAAAATAGAGCCCTAAGAATTTCAATGTTTTACAGAAACATAGAGTGTTGAAGAAAATGTGTGTGGTTAAGCCCAGTGGGGAAACCCTTTTTTTTTTTTTGTGACTGTAAATCTTGATTAAACTACACATGAAAAAATATAGCATGTATATATTGTTCACTGTTTGTTTTCTGAATTACTGAGTGAGAAAAATATTCCTAGAATTCACTCTAAATATCTTCAACTCAAATGTCAATAAATAAATAAATAAATAAACAAACAAATAAAAGAAAGACTACATTCAATGTTTCCATTTTTCGCTGGTGTCCAGTGTTCTCCAGCCTCCAGTTCCTAGACTGCAGCTCTGCACAAGACATTTGGCCATAGGAGAAATGGTCGTGCCCAACTAAGCCCGATTTCTTTCAAGGTATTTATTCTTAACTTTCGCCAATTGGTGAAGTTTTTTCCTCGCCGCTGTCACCACTGGCTTACATAGATCGGGACTTGTAGAGCTGCACATCGATGGATTAGCTCTTCAGTGTTTGAACTCTCAGCAGTGAAAGTTAAACCCCACTGAACTAAACTGAACTGAACTTAAACTCTGAAAACTGAACTGACAGTTTCAATTCACTATAATCATCTATGTGAAGCTGCTTTGACACAATTTACATTGTAAAAGCGCTATAAAACAGATGAATTGAATTTAATTGAACAATAAATAAACTGTAAATTAAAGAATGCCTCATTTGCATATTTAAACATAGCATTTAGCATTTTTTGTTGTTGCAATTCTTAATATAGTTAATCAACTAAGGGAAGTATCTTAATATAACTATTAGTTTTTACCCTATTCACCTGCAGTGTCTTGCCTTAATATCTGCTTGAGACCTCTGGCATGTGGATTAAATGGACATTCGTCCACCCGCGGAGTGTATTTTTCGACTTGTTGTGCTGCACAAGTGAGCACACGAGGCTGAAAATAATGAATTTAGTACATTAAAGCAGCTCTAATATGGCTGCCTGCTTCCTTTTATTTCTCGACTGCATAGATACAGTTGCCTGGCAGAGCGAGCGTTATCTTTCAAAACAATTTAAGGCTCGGCTGGGAGTAATGAAGTACTGACAGCAAGCACAACATCAATAATGCTTTTCACACAGGGTGAAACGAACAACACATGGGAATAGAAGAGAAACAGGAAAAAAGATAATAAAATCAGCAGAGAAAGAGAAAGAACAAGACCGAATAAAACAGTCCATGCTAAAAAAAATGACGACAGTGCCAGGGTATATTGAGGGTGTCAAAAAAATATCATGATACTGATGAAGCATTACTGTCAAATAACACATACAAAAACTGTTCAACTGATTGAAAGCAGGTAACATTATCCGCCAGTTGTCTGAAAATGATGGAAAGTAATGGTTGATTAATCATTCTGGTTGAGCAAAGGAATTTTTACAATATTTTTTTTAATATTGTTTCTTTTGGAGAAAGTCTTATTTCTTTTATTTCATCTAGAATCAAAAGCAATTTTCAATAAAAAAAAAAATCATTTTAAGGTCAATATTATTAGCTCTCTTAAGCAATATTTTTTTTCCGATTGTCTAGAGAACAAACAATGATTTACCCTAACTTGCCTAGAGTTAAGCCTTTAAATTGGACTTTAAACTGAATACTAGCATCTTGAAAAATATCTAGTTAAAATATTATGTATAATCATCAGGGCAAAGATAAAAGAAGTAATTATTAGAAATGAGTAATTAACATCATTTAGTTTAGAAATGGGTTCTATTTCTATCTAAAAATATTCTTTCCATTAAACAGAAATTAGGGAAAATTATAATTAAGGGGGTAATAATTCTGACTTCTGACAAGCAACACAGCATTATTATGTCCAAAAACTATTTATACCAAAGTTTGTTCAAATAAAATAGAAAAATAAACATAATTGAAATAAATTGAAAAATAAACAAACGCAACATAAACAGAATGGAATTTCACTGTACAAACAGAATTTAAAGAACTGTAATGAACAGACCAGAAAGAAGAACAGAGCAAAGCTAAATAGAAATAAATAAAGCAGATCAGAAACGTAACACATTATGACTGGCGACAGGATGGCTCTGAGGTTAGCACTGTCAGAAAGAAAACTTTCAGAAACCAAAGTCAAAAGAACAGAACATAACAAGAGAAAATAAACAAAATTACACAAGTTCACAAGTCAGTGGACTCTCAGTAGGGGGTTGCGGCCGGAAGGGCACCCTTTACATAAAACATATTCCAAAGTAATTGGTGGTTCAGTACGCTGTGGCACCTTTGATAAATCAGGGATAAGCCAAAATAAAGCGAAATAAAATAGAATAGAAATAACTAAAATTACAAGACTAAGCAGATTAGAAGAGAACTAAAAAATATATAAATGGAATATAGCAGAAATGAAATGACTGTAATCTAATATAAATTAAGTAGTATACTATAGAACAGAAATGAGGACAAATGAAAATTCACCGAACTTAAACATAGAAAAAAACAAAAATGAAGAGCTTAACAGAAATGAATAAACTCTTATCTGTGTTTTTTGTAAAAAAAAAAAAAAAAAAAGAAAGAAGAAAAGAAAAACTGATTAAAGATGCACAGAACACAATAAAAACAGAAATAA